ACTAAGTTCATATGTTTCAAACGCCTCGACCGTTAAATTCACGAAACCCTCGTCATTCGTAACGACAGCCCAACCCAGACCTCGGAATCGTCTACCTCGTATTCAAAACCCCGAAGTACTCATGCGAAGAGTACTTTGCCCTCCGAAACCTTATCGCTGTATATTCAGCAAACCTTCCGAATTACCACTCGTCTAACAGATCAAGTTCAAGCACAGAGGCTAAGGACAAATACCGCCCACCTATCACTAATAAGTGTATACGCTAGATTGGTATATAATCATGATTATGCAGATTTAGTATGTGTGTTTCCGCCCTATCTCCTGTTCCTTGTTTGGTTGTGGACCTGGGGCAGAGTCGCACATCCGACCGTCTTACTAATCTTAATTATATACGACTGTTATACACAAGGTAATGATATATGGACCAGGTATGAATCCGATCATGGACATTAGGGCAAAGTTGCCAGGTCTATGAGTGGGTATTCTACCAATAAGAGGAGCACAACCCCAATAGTACTGCTAAGAAAGCTAATTTTGGGACAAAATTCCATCCAACGGGGGGATGATGGGACAACCCAAAAATTTCAATCCAGTAAAGTCAATCAATCCAATCAAATGGTAGACTTGTTTCTGCTATCTTTTAGCTTTGTTAAGGGTCTGTTTGAGTGTTCTAAGCCCAAGACATCCAAGGAATGAGTGTTAGGAAGTATCTGCTTGAGTTTACTGTTCATCATTCAAACCATAAACTCCATCTCAAGGAGTTTACGGCCGCAAACAAGGAGTTTACGGCAGTAAACTCTTGGCAGCCGTGAACTCATGCCCCTAAGTATCATATTCCTTCACTTTTCTTCATTTCTTACACTTTCACCTCAAGAACAATTTAATTCTCTCTCAAGTATCATCAGGATCTTCGTCTTGATCTTCAAAAATTGTAAGTGATTCATCCATCCTTCTTGTTATTCCTTCTTGGCCTTGTAAGCATCTCTTGATTCATCCATGAAATCACCTCTTTTGGTTAGATCTTCAACTTCATCAACTTTCACCAAGAACACCAAGAACACACACTTGTTCCTGGTGGTCGAAAACACCCTTCTAAGGCTTCTAAATCGTGAGTATTCCTTCCATACACATGCTACCTAGTAGAATCATTAGCCTAAATACCTGGAACAAACGATTTGAGGGTGATCTCGAGGAGTTCACAGCCGTAAACTCCCTTGTCCGTAAACACCCTAGACCGTAAAAAACATGGCCGTAAACTAAAGTGTGGTCGTGAATACATTTCCCATGGCCGTACACTCCCCTTTGATCAATCACATGTGATTCTAACACTTAGTCCAAGTGTTTCTTAGTCCCTAAGGGTGTTTCCTTGCATGTTAGTTGCTTTAAACACTAATTTCATTCCAATATATGCCATTATATGTCATTAGGACTCGTTTGTGTCTCGGGAATTGATTCGTGGAACTTCTGATCCTTACGCGCATATTCGATTGAATAACCCACATAAGGTGAGTTCATACCCCTATAATCAATCTTATAAACTATTTTAAATGCTTTTAAGGGCGGAATACAAGTTGGACACAATGATAATTGCGTAAATGTTTTGTTATAAACATCTTTTAAAGGATTCCTTATGTACTTATAAGTGATCAAAACATTTCAAAAACTCTTTTAAAGTTATGTTACTTTATAGTTTACAAAACTCCGTTTTTAAAGTACAATCATAACTTAGTAGATAAAATGAGTCTTTTCTTCAAGTCATTAACAGTTTAAGTAAAGATATTACTAAACTATAATAGGTATAGTTTAGGAGTTTAAACATACTATAATGAGAAACAAGGAGGAACATACTATACACTATACAAAGAGAACATACAATACACTAGAAAAGAGAGAACATACAATACTAATACAAGAATACTATAACATTAATGTGAGCCACTACTTCACGACTTAGCAATATACTTAGCAATATACTTGCTAGCTTGTGTTTTGTAACCAGAGTCTCCTGGAGGGAGAGCATGAGTTTGTGTATAGATCTATATGGGATTGACACCCCACACCTTGCTGCTAGCTACAGTGGGACTTGCAAGTCTACGGGTGACAAATATCACATTAGTTTCGGCGCCATTAGGTCGTCGCGGTAAAGCACGCGTCATATCAGTATGGTTATAATCACATCACATTTTAACCTTAATCAACAAACTGGTTTTTAAGGTGGTTAGTGCTTCAGTAGTTACTTTTTACAAACATTAGTGAATACTTTCATTATTACAAAAGATAAAAAGTACAGTCAAGTCTTAGTACATTCATATAGAAAGGGGCCTATAATGTTAACCTTAGGATTCCTTAGTGCATACATCAGGGATATATATTAATCGGGTCGGATAGACAGTAGAGTGTATGTTTTCCGCTTCATTTCCTGTTCCTTGTTTGGTTGTGGTCTTAGAGCAGATACACCCAGTCTAATATCTATCCGATCTTAGTTATATATATATTCCGTATACACCATGTAATCATAAGGAGTACTAGGTATAGGCCAGGTCATAGTATACAAATTCAATATATCATTTTCTAGTATAAAAACATACTTTTCAGATAGAACATGTAGTAGAGTAAACTAGAAACTTATCAGTAACAAGGTTTAATCCATTTTATTAAACCAATATAACTTAAAGGACCTTAAGTGGTTAATTCTATAATATCCTAGTTTATACATCATGGTTATATATAATTAATATCCGATAGGTAGTTGGATGTGTGATTTCCGCCTTACTTCTTGTTCCTTGTTTGGTTGTGGGCTTAGGGTAGATTCACACAATTAACTATCCGTTCAATATTAGATTATATAAAACTAGTATAAACTAAGTGATTATAGAAGGAACTATTGTGGTTACCATTTTTACTAAAGGAAATAAGGGATTTTCTTAAAGAATGTTTTCATCAAATATAAAGGAACTATTACAGTTAACTCCGTGAGTACCAAGTGAATACACCAAGGTTGTATAAAACGAAGACCTAACAAACAATGGGATGTGTGACTTCCGCCTCATTTCCTGTTCCTTGTTTGGTT